TAGAATCAGAGGTCTTGAAGAAACCCTGAATTCCTTCTATTCCAACTTCTGCCCAGAATAGAAAATGGCTTTTTTAACATTTACTTGAAACCTTGAGTGCAAGAACACCCACATCTAAAGGAGACAAGCTGTTCCTCTGCTCAACAATTCTCACATTTAGGACATTCCTCTTTTTTGCATTCAGTTCTTTCTCTGTAAACCTTTTGCCCATTGATTCTTGTCTTACTGTCAGATACTAAGGAGAATAAATTCACATCCTCTTCCCAGTGACAGCCCTTCAGGTATAGAAGGATTGTTATCATGCCTCCTCCTAGCATAGTCTTCTTTAGCTAAACATATTCTCCAGAGGATTTTGCCTCCAAGCCTGTCATCTCAACCATCCTTAACTTCTCCACAGAAAATTTTGCTTTCAAGTCTGTCATCCCACCAATCTTTTCTCTGCCAAGTTTTTAATTCTTTAATGTCTCTCTTAAAGATGGGAGGTTGAACAACTAGCCTCTGGAATCGAACATACTCAAAACCGTAGAAATGGTGGTAGACTTTAAGAGAAACCCTCCCATACTACCACCTCTTACGATACTAGACAACATAGTATCAACAGTAGAGACCTTCAAATTTCTAGGTTCTATCATATCTCATATCTAAAATGGACACCTAACATCAAAAATGTCATCAGAAAAGCACAACAGAGAATGTTCTTTCTGCGCCAACTCAGGAAGCTCAAATCGTCCAAGGACCTGCTGGTATAGTTCTATAGAAGAATTATGGAGTCTGTCATCTGCACCTCTTTAACTGTCTGGTTTGGTTCTGCAACCCAAAAAGACAGACACAGACTTCAGAGGATAATTAGAACTGCAGAAAAAACAATTGCTACCAACCTGCAATCTTCATTGAGGACCTGTATACTGCACGAGTCAAAAAGAGGGCTGTGAAAATATTTACAGAACCCTCACATCCTGGACATAATTTGTTTCAACTCCTACCCTCAAAACGACGCTATAGAGCACTGCACACCAAGACAACTAGATACAAGAACAGTTTTTTTCCCAAACGCCATCACTCTGCTAAACAAATAATTCTCCCAACACTGTCAAACTATTCATATTAGGCTGCATTACTATTGCTATTGGTCTTCTCATCCTTCCTGTCGCCCATCTCCTCCCACTTGTGACTCCATGACTGTAACTTTGTTGCTTATATCCTTGCAATTTATTTATTTATTTATTTATTTTGTCACATTTCTATGCCGCCCAACTCCCAAGGGACTCTGGGCGGCTCATTTATATTGATATTGGTTGTTTCCTAGTATGATTTAATTGCTTATTGTACCGTAAGACTGTACCGTATGGTGTTGTGCCTTGTGATTCTTGACGAGTGTATCTTGTCTTTTTATGTACACTGAGAGCATATGCACTGAAGACAAATTCCTTGTATGTCCAATCACACTTGGCGAATAAAGAATTCTATTCTATTCTTATATGATGGAGACCAGAAATTGACACTTTTTTCAGGTGTCATCTAACCAGTGCAGTATAGAATAGAACTGTAATTTCCTATTATCTTAACACTTTATATCTACTTATGCAGCCCATAAGTAGATATACTTCTTTCAGAAGAAGTAGAACACTGCTGGTTCATGCCTAATCTTCAGTCCACTCACATATACTACTGTTGGGCCTGGTTCTACCTCTCTTATACCTGTTTGTCTAGTTTTTCATACTTAAGTGAAAAGCCTTTTCTTATTATTGAACTGTATATTGTTGGATAAAGCCCATTATTTAAGCCTGTAAAGATTCTTTTGAACTTTCAGTGCGTCTTCTATGTTAGCTATCCTCCTATTCACCCAGATTTATGTCTGCAGATTTTATGAACATGTTTTCTATTGACTTATATAATTATGAAAATATTGAAGAGCACTGGACTCAAGATGGAACTATGTGGTACCCCACTCCATGTATACCTTTCTCCATGTAAGTACTACGTGTTGGATGCAGTCATTCAACCAATCACAAATATATCTGGTAGGGGGACCATCTATTCACCTTTATTAAGGATAAGGTTATTTTCTACTTTATCAAATGTGCTTATATTTCTGTTCACAAAAATGTGAAAAAGTTTAAGGTTGATGCGAACAATCTGCATATGTAAACATAGGTTTAAACATATCACTCTAAGACAGGGATCTCCAACCTTGGCAACTTTACAGCTTGTGGACTTCAACTCCCAGAATTCCTCAGCCAGCATGCGCTGGAATTGAAGTCCACAAGTCATAAAGTTGCCAAGGTTGGAGACCCCTGGTCTAAGATGTCAACTACACAGAGCTCGGGACCTTAAATGCATCCTATAACCAAGAATCTTGCAAACTGTTATTTATGTCTGGCTTTTTTAGTGTATGAATTGGGAATCAGATTAAAAAGTCAGGCTGCAAAAAGAGACGGTGATAAAGAGAGAGGAGGCATTCTGTAGCCTAATCATCTTAATATTGTATTTTTGTGTGGATGTGGGTGTACTTTTCTACACAAAAGAAAAGACCCAGGTAATCCAATGTTGATATGTGATAATGCTGGAGTCTGCAATGAAAGCTTGAAGTCACCCAAACTTTTCCTCATCTCTCTTCATTATTGTCTCGGCCCAGTTATAGTGTTCTCGATTCTGTATACATGTAAAAAAAAATACTACACCCCAGTCTAATAATATTGATTTGCAAGACTTCAAACTTTGCTTTCTCTATTTAAGAATTTTTTGTCATGACTCAGGAATATGAGGAAAAAGTGAAGAGCTAGGGTTTTGACTGAATAATATCTGAATTATATGAAAATTTCACCTGTAAAAAATAGTTATGAGGCAAATTAGAATAGCTGTTCTGCTTAAAAGAGATAGAGAGTTGGCTAAACAAACATCCTGCCAGCTTTTTCAAGTAGAAATTGAAGACAGACTAATCTATAACTTGACGTTGCCTGCAGTGCAGATCTAGTTAGTGTGGAAGTCAATTTATAAAGAAAAGTGGGATAAGTGATGAAGTTCTAGGACTTGTTACAAATTAAAAATTAACAAATTGCCAAATCCAGAATTGCATTCAGTGGAGAATTCTTAAAGATCAGCAGTGAAGATAGTTTAGACTTCATCCAGAGGAAGGATGTTTTGATGACTGAAAAGTTGCCAATGTAACATTTTAAATATATATATTGGAAGATGCTAGAAAATTGCAGAGCCGTTAGTGCAACCTCTATACCAGATATTGTAAATTACTAGAATGCATTATTGAAGATAAAAATAGTGGGCATATAGAATAATATATTTTGCTGAAGAAGAATAAAAGTGTATTCTGCAAAATCTGATCTTGTCATACGAAGAAAGTTAAGTATCTAAGAGAGTGTGTCTAATTATTAGAATATAGTTTTACTTTTTAAATAAAAAAATCAACAGTGATGTCTAAGAGGAAGTTTCTTAGGGTTTGGTAATTAGATATAGACATATAGACTAGATATAGCTATAGATAGCTATAGATATATTAGTATTGGGTTCAAGGAACCTTTGAATTGAGCTTAAGAAAGTGATTTCCATTGTCTTCTTTTCAGTTTCCCTATCTAACCTTGGCTTTCTTCATGGTCTCCTGGCCAAATTCTAATTGGATCTTACACTGTCAAATGTCTATGAAGATTCTCAGTCATCCAGGTCATGGTTGTCCCAAAGGTGTTTTTTTCAAAAGGCAACTGGACTTTCTTTGTTTTTCTTTGAAGACATTTCACTTCTCTTCCAAGAAGCTTCTTCAACTCTGAATGGATGAGAAGCAAAAGGTCTCCATAGAAAAACAAGCCCAGTTGCCTCCTGAAAAAGCATTTTGGGATTACACTGTAATCAAAATACTAAGAGCCTTGATAGTACAGGGGTTTAGTGCACCCTGTCATTAACACAGCTGCCTGCAATTTCTGCTGGTTCGAATCTCTCCAAGGCTCAAGGTTGACTCAGCCTTCCATCCTTTCTAAGGTAGGTGAAATGAGGACCCAGTTTGTGGGGGCAATAAGCTGACTTTGTATAAAATGTACAAAAGAATGAAGGCTATTGCTTAACGCATTGTAAGCTGCCCTTTGTCTCTGGAGAAGGGTGGCATATAAATCAAATAAAAAAAAAATTGTGGAAACCTTTTGGGAAAACTGCATTTTTGAGGTTTGATGACTAATAACACCACTTTTTGTTTTGTTTTGAGTTACAAGATAATCCTATTCCAGTGCTGGAATGGCCTGGGAATAGCCCAGACCTTAACCCAATTGAAAATCAATGGAGCCGACTAAAGAAGCCCTGGTGGCGCAGCAGACTAAAGCACTGTTATTAACATCAGCTGCCTGCAATTTCTGCTGGTTCGAATCTCTCCAAGGCTCAAGGTTGACTCAGCCTTCCATCCTTTCTAAGGTAGGTGAAATGAGGACCCAGTTTGTGGGGGCAATAAACTGACTTTGTATAAATATACAAAAGGATGAAGGCTATTGCTTAACGCATTGTAAGCCGCCCTGAGTCTCCGGAGAAGGGCGGCATATAAATCAAATTTAAAAAAAAAAAAAAGGACAATGACAATAGTTCCTCAAGTATATGTTCAAAGTTGTTTTGGTGTTGTGTGAAGAATTCTCTCTGAAGCTCCAGCAAAATTATTTTAAAAAACGATAAACACCGCAACCATGGTGTGGAGAAGCTTATTCAGCAGAGAGGGGGCAGCTGTGAGAAATTGCACTCCTGCATCTTTAATTTTCTCCGCTCAAAAGAGAGCCTGCATAGCAATGCCAACCCGCTCGCTAGTTCGTGCTTTTAATGTGTGATCCGTTTTCTCCAGCGGAGGGCACTCAATGTATCGCAAAGTAGAACATTAGCACCAACAAGCTCCTAAGCATTTCATCTGTGTCTGGGAAAGAGGGAAGAAAAAGGAGGAGGAGGAGGAGGGGGAGGAGGGGGAGGAAGAGAGAGGGAGAGGGAGAGGGAGAGAGAGGGAGAGAGAAAGAGAGAGAGGGAAAAAAAAGTGATTGGGGAGAACAACCTCGCGCGCGCAACACAGGGCTCCAGAAAATACGCGCGCGCGCGCGCGCACGGGCACATTCGCGCACACACACACACAAACACACACACACACTGACACTCTTTGGAACCCGAGCGCCTCCATGGATAAAAACTAGCTTTTGAAACGACGAAGAAAGGAGGGCAAAATCTTGGAGACGAGACCCTGAGGAGTCACCCATTATTATTTTTTTTTTTTTGACAGCTGGGTTGAAGGAATGGGTCGCTGTGCTTGGGGATGGAGAGAGGCAGCCGACTGAGGAGGTTGTCTTGCAGCAGGAGGACACTTCGCGGCCTTTTCGTCCTCCCCCTCCTCCCCCTGGCTGAGAAGTTGCTTCGCCTCCATGGTCCTCTCGAGCTCCAACGAAAGGCTGGACGATTGATGCCAACGGTCCAGGCGAGACGCTCCATGGCTTTCCGAGATTAGGTTATCCCTTCCTTCCTTCCTTCCTTCCTTCCTTCCTTCCTTCCTTCCTTCCTTCCTTCCTTCCTTCCTTCCTTCCTTCCTTCCTTCCTTCCTTCCTTCCTTCCTTCCCCCAACCCTGTCTCCCCTATATTCCACTACCCCTATTCCCTAATCCATCCTTCCTTCCTTCCTTCCTTCCTTCCTTCCTTCCTTCCTTCCTTCCTTCCTTCCTTCCTTCCTTCCTTCCTCCCTCTCCCTCTCAGGAACTTTGTGTAGGTTCCTTGGTTCCTTCCACTTGGATGGCATGGAAGTAGGTAGCAGCTGGGCTAGTCTGTGTGACACCATGCTTTAAAGGAAAAGAACCGGCTTGAAAGGGGGGTGGGTGGGGAAGAGACCACCACCACCACAACTATCAACCTCCCCGGTCATTCCAAGCCACAAACAACATCTGGAAGAAGAAACGGGATACAATTGCAGATGAGGGAACGATGGGTAAGTGAACTTTTTTTTTTTTTTTTTGGTAAGGCTGCAGCTGTGCCCAGGGCTGAGGGTGGCATGTGTGTTTGTATGTGTGTGTGTGTGAGTGCACATCTCTTGCCTGCCCATTTGCTGGAGAAGAAAAACCCATCAAAATAACACTACTGCGCTCCTTTTGCTAGGTGACTCACACAAGCTACTTTTATATAGATTCTGCCTTCTTCTGCCTCATCCCATCCTTTACTCTCCCCTCTGTTGCTTTGGGAGATCTTTAATCCTCAGATGAACACCCTTACTCCATTATTAGTGGCATATATACAGACCAGAACAGTTTGGTTCTTCTTCCCCTCTCTCTATTTACCCCACCCTCACCCAGTTCTGTCATTTCTTCTACTCCCTGGTGCCCTGCTATTCAATCTATGCCTCATCCCCATTTAGCATTTGCTCAGATTCATGTCTTAAGAATTTTTTTAAAGGTGGTGCTAATGATAAATCCAGATCCTCAACCCTCTATTGAAGAAGAAGAAGAAGAAAAAAAGCGGGGGGGGGGGGGCATTTGCTGATGAACCTGCTCCCGAGAACTAAGTTGATAACCTTCATACACATGCAGGCACCATCCTCCAAAAGAAACTGTTAAATCTCCAACACCTATTTTAGAGATTCTCTTCCCCTCCTTCCAGAAACCTCCTCCAAATGTGACAGAGTTATATTTTCCCCTCCATGTGTAGGTTGGAATATGTTTCTGCTGTTGCTCCTCCTGGCATCAGGCAATGAGAAAAGATCAGAATTTAAATGAAGGAAGGAAAGGAAGAATCTTGCCTTTGAAATGAATGTCTCGGAGACAAACAGTCAAAAGCTCTTTGGATTAGCAGTTAGCCTCCACTCAAATAAAACACTGAATAAAATAATGGCTTATTTGGCGATTTTTTTGTTCCTTCTTTCCTTCTTTCCCCCAACCTAATAACATTATTTACTATTAAGAAAATAATACTTTTCCAGAATTCCTGATTGAAGGGTGCAAAGCAAATGTCCAGAAAGGTTACAACTCTGCAAAGCTATACTTTGAAGCTTATCCCAAGACTAGAAAGGTCCAATTTCTCCCCTTATTTTGGAGAACCATTAGCCTGTATGTAGCTTAGTTCTCCCAAGACTCACGTAGTTATTCAGAGGACATGGGAGCCGTGAGCAGCTCAGAAGGATGACTATAAAATAAGTTTTCTGCTATATATGTTAAATGTAGACTAACAAAACTGGAATTGGAAAAAGAGAAGGGAAATTCACTTTTTTTTTTTTTGCTTCGACTGGGATTGAGTTTCCATTCATGTTTATTATTAATTTATAGTAATAACATTCTCCCACCTTTTACCCAAAATAATTATTGGGTGTGCATGGCTGTAATTATAGAAGAAATGTGGATGCTAAAATAATAAAACCATGCTTCTGTATATTAAAATATATCAATAAGTAATATAATTATGTTAGCTGTTACCTCAAGACCCTGTTGTTCCACCAGGCTGGGCTATCAATGTAATGATTTTTAAACTGGGTGTTTTAAATTTTTGGGGTTTTAAATCTGAGCCGAAATTATTTAATAATTTTAATTATTTTTAACTGATGTCTGTCTTTGTGCTTTTAATAGGCTGTACACTACCCTGAGTCCTTCGGGAGAAGGGCGGTATAGAAATTTATTTATTTATTTATTTATTTATTTATTTATTTATTTATTTATTTATTTATTTATTTATTTATTTATTTATTTTATTTATTTATTTATTTATTTAATGTGTGAAGATATGAAAGTATGTCTGATAAACACATGCATTTTATTATGATATCCCGAAGTTCCTTGTCACTGCTATTTAGCATCCTTAGATTTTTTTCATACATAAGATTTGACACATAAGACATTCATACCTGTCTGTTTGGATTATGCTTAGCTCACATGAAATAAAATATCTTATCGTGTGCTTCCCCCACCTCTCTCTCCAATTTTTCTAACTTCTATTTGTCACGCTACATTAACACATATTTTTAAGGTCATCTGTGCATCTCTTTAAGAGCCCAAGAGATATGTACTTGTGAGTTGGTTTATTAAGAAACCTTTTACTGATTTAAGAATATTTAACTATTCAAGCTTGGGTGCATTCTCTTCCCAAAATCTACTTCACAGTGACTTGACAAATATGTTTAGTATTAAATCTACAACATCCTAATGATAAGGGCATTTGGGCTATGTGCATCTTGCTAATGCATGTTGCTATGAGTTAAAAATCGGAAGGGGAACTTAATTTGTCAACAAAGGTCATAAATCACCCAGAGGTAAATGAATAAATGTAGTCTGATTGTATATGTTGGCTGGTTAGGGAGAAGGAAACATTGGAAAAAAAGAGTCAGTATAGCAAAGATCTCTATGTAAAACACCAAGCTTACACACATACACACAGAGAAAGAGAAAAAAGAGAGAGAGGCTGAGAGAGAGGGCGAATTGCATGGAAGCAAGGCATCATGTTTTGAATTCAACTCTTTTATTTGTTATTTGAAATCCTGATGGTGAATACTATGATCCTGATTTGAGTGGCCTCACGATGTATGTTTGTTATCTTCATGTTGTAGGTTTCCATGTAATTAAGCATCTGAGAGGCATGAGTGCAGTGCTTGTTCTCCTTCCTACTGTGCTGTTTGTGACGTTGAGTGGGGCTCAGCGAGCTTGCCCCAAGAACTGCAGATGTGATGGCAAAATTGTGTACTGTGAATCCCATGCATTCAGAGACATTCCTCATAACATTTCTGGAGGATCTCAAGGCTTATCGTTACGGTACAACAGCATCCAGAAGCTCAAGCCAAATCAGTTTGCAGGCCTACACCAACTCATATGGCTTTACCTTGATCATAACTACATCGCTTCAGTGGATGAGGATGCCTTCCAAGGCATCCGAAGGCTGAAGGAATTAATTCTAAGCTCCAATAAAATTACGCACCTTCACAATAAAACATTTCACCCAGTCCCCAACCTACGCAATCTAGACCTGTCTTACAACAAGCTACAGGCGCTTCAGTCAGAGCAGTTTAAAGGTCTTCGCAAGCTCCTGATCTTGCACTTACGATCCAACTCATTGAAAACGGTTCCTATTCGGGTTTTCCAAGATTGTCGCAACCTTGATTTTCTGGATTTAGGCTACAATCGTCTGCGGAGTTTATCTCGCAATGCCTTTGCTGGCCTTTTGAAGCTCACAGAGCTCCACTTGGAACACAACCAATTTTCTAAGATCAACTTCGCTCACTTTCCTCGTCTCTTTAATCTCCGCTCCATTTACTTGCAGTGGAATAGGATCCGATCCTTAAGCCAAGGGTTGACCTGGACTTGGAGTTCTTTGCACAATTTGGATTTATCGGGAAATGACATTGCAGGGATTGAACCTGGGACATTTCAGTGCCTGCCAAACTTGCAGAAACTCAACTTGGATTCCAACAAACTTACTAACATCTCTCAGGAGACTGTCAATGCCTGGATTTCTTTGATATCTATTACACTTTCTGGAAATATGTGGGAATGTACCCGGAGCATTTGCCCTCTGTTTAACTGGCTTCAAAACTTCAAGGGAAACAAAGAAAGTACCATGATTTGTGCAGGCCCTAAGCATATTCAGGGTGAAAAGGTGAGCGATGCGGTAGAAACCTACAACATTTGTGTAGAAATCCCAGTGGTGGTCACTGAAAAACCTTACCAGGTCCCTAAAACCCAGCAGAGACCCATCTTTATTCCAAAACCCACCATTCCCAAAGTGGAAGACTATGAACCAATATCTTTTACACCAAGCCCTTCTCCAGATTTCCCAACATCTGGACAAGAACCAGAATATGAGCATGTTTCCTTTCACAAAATAATTGCTGGAAGCGTTGCCCTATTTCTTTCAGTGGCTATGATTTTGTTGGTCATTTATATTTCGTGGAAACGCTACCCAGCCAGCATGAAACAGCTCCAACAACACTCCCTCATGAAAAGGCGTAGGAAAAAAGCCCGAGAATCTGAAAGACAAATGAACTCCCCTTTACAGGAGTATTATGTGGACTACAAGCCAACAAACTCTGAGACCATGGATGTATCGGTTAATGGATCTGGACCCTGCACGTATACCATTTCTGGCTCCAGGGAATGTGAGGTATGAACCATGATCCTCCTAAATCCATTTCTGCTGCTGGGAAGGAGAGGTAAATGTTTGACACTCTTGAGGTGACTCTAATCACTAGAAAGATCAATGAGTCTTGTTTCTTTGGGGGTGAAAGGTTATGAATTAAATTGCAACAGTCAGGGAAGTGATGGTGTCTAACTTTCAAGAATTCGGACTTAAAAGCTATTAGTTTAAGAATAAAAATGAGTTTGGGATGAATAGCATCAGGGAAGCCCCTTGGGTCTAGCTTTAGCTATTTCATGCTGGTTAAAAATCAGGGTTACTTCTATCATGATTTTATATTGTGAGGTAATAGCAACAAAGGGGAGACTCTGTTATACCGTAAAAATGTGCCTTTGTAGCAGAAACATAAACTTTTTTTTCCCCTTGTTTTATTTCAAATGAAATTCTAAATAGCTTACTATACAAACACTCCCCTTCCCTGGATTTTGGTCCTGATCTTTCATGCATGTTAAGAATATCTCATTACATGTCACTTCCTTGACATGTAAGGAAGGTGGATATTCAACATCTGTATACAAGGCAGTTCTTTCTGAAGTGTCTCGATGAATAAAGGATGGTTTAAATGTGGCCTTTTGTGGTTGGCGGTGCTGAAATCAAAGAATTTCTTTGAAATGTGTCTGCTGGGGAAAGGCAGGTTCTCCACTCACATTTCATTTGAGAACAATTATTTTATATCAGTTGGAAGCTTGGGTTCAACTGTGAATATGATAGTTAGAGAGAATGGGAGGATGTGTTGCTGATCTCCCAGGGATGGGAGAAAGAGCATCTGAGGACCCACGGCTTCACAGAAGGCTGCTGCAAACAGGATGGGAGGAGAAAAGGCGAATAATGTGTACTCTAGTTATGGTTCTTGGCAGCATGGGGACAGGGTGGGAGGTGTTATTCGACTTGAGCGGCTGCAGGATTTACAATCCTCCTAATTGTCTTTCCTGAAAATCCAACCTGCTTCTGACCAGAATATGGATTATGCTATGAAGCCTGTGCCCAAAATTTGCCAAGATAGATTGCTCTTACGCTTTGATATCTTGTTACATTAAAAGGCACTTCAATTTAAAGACAGTGCAAATGAATGCACCTTCCAAATAAGATGGACACTCTCCACTGAACTGCTGAATCAAATCCAATGCTTTTCATCAATCCAGCCGTTTGAATGTATACTTTCTGATGCCTTTCTGAATTGATTAGAAAATCCAATCAACTTTATATTCCAAATCAATTAGAAGTGTCAGATCAGATCAGATTGATTGTTTGAATCAGAATGAATAATTTAAATAAGAATTACAGATACCTAGGAGAAAATCTGCTTTGACCATATTACAATGGCGATTCCTTTGCTTTCCCATACTACCAGATTTAGTTTCTAGGGATATTTCAATAGAAGGACAATTGGAATTGCACTGAAAGTATTAACTTGCTTCACTGTATTTTTTTCCCATTTTGACTTTAATATATTCGTTGTTTTTTTTAAAAAAAAATAATAATGAAGAAGCAGACACTTTAATTATTTTTCTACCTGTTGAGAAAGGCTATTCCCATCAGTCTAATTTAGTTTCTTCAGAAACATATTTATAACTCGTGAAGAGTCTAAAACAAGCTGATAAATCCCTATTAGAGTCTAGTGAATTCAATAGATCATTGGATATGACTTTGCTGGGCTTTGATTATGCTCAAATCACATCAGTTGCTCTGCTTGAGAAGAAGTTTAAAGTGTTTCCTGTTGACTAAAGAAGAAACATAGGCCATCCTAGGGGAAATATAGACAGTCGGACAGATGTTTCTTTTCTCTGGCAATGAGATATATAATTTAAAAATCAAATATACATGTATTGTTTTATAGATAAATGTATAAAACAATAGGCTATGCCTTCTCCAAAGTAGGTTTCTCTGAATTTGATAGGGTTTGCTTGGTTTTAATTTCTTTAGGGTTTGTAAATCCTGGTTTATCATTTTTGATAAACTAACAATGGCATAAGTATTGCTAGTGTGTTGTTTTCATTTGTCATACACCCAAGCAAGAACTAGGAAGCATAATGTAGGGATAATTTCCATGTTCTAATAGAAAATCAATAGCTGTTATATGAGAAAAGAATTCTGATATTTTATGATGAACATCTGGAGCAGTACGAAGTCATCCCCACATTCTACGTTCAACCCCTAAAGGATGAAGTTACAAAGGTGCAGTTATTTCCATTAATGTCACACTTAAAGAAATAGTAATATAATCCAAAGATCCCACTACCTTCAAAAACAATCTGTAAACCCAGTTCAAGCTAGATGTATTTATTTATGAATTGTGGAAGCTACTTCTATCCAACTGAACTCTAGAGATAATTTTCAGTATATTCAGTAAATCACAATATTAGTAATACAATATAGAAACTAATATATCTGTAAATAAAATTAAGTCTTACCTTAGTGAGTCATTATCAAAAAATCTTCAGGATGGGGGAAGTTATTTACAAGTTCCTTGATCGCCATAAGAATAAGAGCCATCTTATTTATTTATTTGTATATATGTGTGTATGTATGGAAGCAAATGGTCTTTGCATTTTACAAAGATGCAGATTATATTTGAACCCATGGAAAGTATTTTCCATGCAAATATATAGCTTTGAATTGAGGACCAGTAAAGGCATACTTTTAAATAAATTAAAACAATAAACTCTTTATTTTTCTCTTAAAAGTGGCCATATTCCCACCTACTATTTCCTAAACTGGCCAATGAAAAAGAGCTAGTTTTATTAAAGTCTTGTTAATACAGTCCTAACTGGACTAGGAGTTTCCAAAAAAACCTGGGTGAGGACTCTGTACTTCCAAAATGATGTATTTTAGTTAGTGTGACTCTCTTAGAACCACAAATATATGGATTTGAAGACTAGGATAAGTAGATTGTATGAATAGGACCAATAAATTGCTGTACTCTGACAGCATACCAAATAAATTGTGGGAACATCCAAGGTGAAATTAACTGACCCAGTCAATATAAACATCTAAAAACATCTAATATCTTTAAAAAAATCTGTAATTCAAATATTCCCAGTTAAAGGAAGAAGGAAGTGGAAGTAATAACAATAGGGATTAGTTTTTGTGGTATCATCATAACAAAGAGAAAATAAAATGTGAGAAAGAAGCAAATGATTTCTCACAATTCCAGAGAACTTTGGAGCTCTGTAGAGAAAAAGGAGTGCAGATACAATCCACTTGATTAAAGCAGAACTAATTTACAACTGAAAAATCTCTATCACAACCAATAATGAAATGTTTCTATTGTTTCAATTCAGAGACTCGGTCAATAATTTGCTCATGAACATTGGCCTTCTAAAGCCTTAAATCTTGTCCACTCATTAGCATTGTGTTGCAAAGGAATGGCAAAAGAAATGTGTAAGAGATTCTGCTTAATAACCATGCTGAAGTCATTGGAGAAGACTAGTGACACTAATTTCTCACTGAATCAGTTATTTAAAACAGCAGATCCTGTTAAAGAACAGGATTGTTGCTATCCCAAGCAGGCAGAAGTTAGGTTATATTTGCTTGCTTGCTTCTTGTTAGCAGGAATGGCCTTCCAGACGTCCTCCTTTAACAGCTGGGTACTAGGATGGTAGTTTCCAGCTTCTGGACTTCCCCAGATTCTTCCTCCATGTTTTAAAAATGTATATTAGGTACAGGTAGTCCTCAGCTTACAACAGTTGAGTTAGTGACCATTCAAACTTACAACAGCGCTGAAAAAAGTGACTTTGACCGTTTTCACAGTTACAACCTTTGCAGCATCCTCATGATCATGTGATCAAAATTCAGATGCTTGGCAACTGGTTCATACTTATGACGGTTGCAGTGTTCCGGGATCATGTGGTCACCTTTTTCAGCCTTCTGACAAGCAAAGTCAATGGGGTAGCCAGATCCACTTAACAACTATGTTGCCAATTTAACCACTACACGGATTCACTTAACAACAGTGGCAAGAAAGTTCATAAAAAGGAGCAAAACTCACTTAACAAATGTCTCACTTAACAACACAAATGTTGTGGTCAATTGTGGTCGTTAGTTGAGGAATACCTGTATAAGCCACCTTTTGATAGTCAGACTCCATTTAACATTTGGGACCCCACTGGATGGGGCAGTTATTCCAATTGAATAATTTCCATCTTTCATCCATCTTCATAGATGGGTCAGAATATTTCTTGCTTGAGCATTTTAGAACTGATGGGTTGTTGTTTTTTTTTAAAAAAATGTTTCACTTTAACTATGTTATGTCTATTTTAGAGGTTACATTGAAATTTTAATGAATCATGTAAAACAATACCATTGACTTACAAGTTTTTAAAACAGTAGCTTTATCTTTACTCTCAGGAGTCCATAAATTAAGAAAAACCATTATTATTGAAATGTTTTGATATGTTGCCAACAGCAGTGATGAAAAATCATTTCCAGAAAATACCAATGGGGGAAAAAAAAACATTTGTCTTTATGGATCAAGTAGAATCTTTAGCCTACATATTTCTGTAACACTTTTATTACAATGCAAGTAGGTCTGTTTTTACTTTTTCTCACGAGCTGAAATCCCAGGGTACACTGGCAAATTTAATTTGTTTATCTGTTAGCAAACAGAAATGTCTACCATGTTTACAAATTTGCTAGGTTCCAAGCTCCAGTTTGTATTCTTCAAAAGTTCAACGCTGAATCAATTGGTGGGTTCACATGATTCATATTCCTCTACTTTTAATTCAAGTTATTTTTCATTTGGTAGTTCTAGTCCCATGATTGTAATAATGAAATGAAATGTCACTGATTTTGAACTCCAAGGATTATAGAAAAGTTGTGTTTGACTCTTGGAATTTGATTCTGTTGAATGGGTACAATGTGTATATAAACCTTTTCTGAGAGATAAGGACTTTGAATGGTGCATGGTGGTGGTAGAGTCATACACCGCACAAAATATGATAGGTTACCACAAAGGAATGAGTGGAACC